CCATAAAATATGTTTCCCTCACTTTATGTACTGTTAAACATACTATTTAAAAATGAATACTCAGAATTTTGTATGTCAGGCAATTTCCTGATTCAGGAGCCTATCTGAGGGTTCTTATTTTGCAATATATAGTCTTATTTGCTCTTATTCACTTTTTCAGGAATGGAACATATCTTCCCTCCTCCCCTCCCCGCCCTTGCTATCCTTGCTATTTTGACTAAAGCATTCATGAAAGAAAATGTAAATCACACCCAATGTCAATTGGAAATGGTCAGAGACATTTATATTTTTCAAAAGGTAGCACGTAAATATATGCAACATTCTGCAAATAATTTGGTTGCAGATCATAAAGTCCTGCAATATCATGGGAATAACTTCTGACAGAGCTGTTTCAGGTTTTTTCCACTTTTAATTCTTAATTATCTGGTGAATCAGATGTGATTTTTACTGCTTATGTAAACAGAACAAACAGTGAAATTTTAAAACCACATTTATTTTAATACAAAATCTGTTGCACTATTACAGAAGTGAGCCTGTATGTTTACACCCACATGCACAGATAATTCAGCATCTACAATTAAATAAGATTAAAATTATACTTCTCTTTTACCAAAACCATTGGCAAATCTTATTAAGAAACGTTCTCTTTGTGCTTTGTAATCAGTGTTTGCATTACTTATTTCTTACATCGGCTCCCATTAAGAAAGCTGATCAACAGAAGGCTCAGAGGTGCGAAAGAAGCTTCTTACAGCTAACTTACATGTGTGATTACTTCAGTTGTGCTTTACCTACAATATATACATGAAAGCTGCAAGGTGTACTACAGTCTAACGTAATGCACTGGCAAAAGCTCTGAATGGTTTAAGCAGGAATCTGCAGTAAATAAGTAGAACAGTTCACTATTTTGTTTTCACAGCAAAAAAATATATATTTAAGTAGATGCTTTAAAATACCATGCACACCATTGGCTATAGTACTTCTTACACAGTACAACATAAGATTTCTTGTTTTATTTGTAACACCTAGAAGCATATAGCATCTACACTTTAAGTGTATTTACAAATTCAACAAAATATCTACATATAAAAAGCTTACTTAAAATTAAACTTGATGCAAGTTATGAAAAACCAATTTATTGGCAAATGAAACTGAGCATTCCTTCAACCATAGGTTGTTATAAAAAATTTATATTTGGAGATAAACATTTGATTGATTTAATATGTGAGAAAATAATTTTGTAACTGATAACAGTAATCTTTACCACTAAACCATGTTAGCACTTGTCAGATTCCTTGAATTCTATGGTTCCCAGTGGTAACTCTCACACTGCTTCTGGGTGTGGATAATTCCAAAGCTGTCACGTTCATCTGGCTGTGATACAGAGGGAAACGCACTCTTGCTGGTATAGTTGGTTGGTTTGCTTTTTAACAATCTATTTTGCAAGAGTTTGTGTTTTGCTGTGTTAGTAAATAATTTCATTCCAAATTTTTTTTAACAAATCTTCTAATGCCATGAAAACATGTTGTGCTCTAACTGTCTATAAAGGAGTATTTTATTTTCAAGGGGAAAAAATCATACTGTTTTTTGTGTAATTTAAAACTTTGAACACCTTCCATTTTTTAGCACAACAAGTTTCATAACACTTTTTTTTTTTCCACATTGTTACTTTGTTTGGCAATGATAGTAGTCCACTAATCACAGTTTACTGCACCAACTGATTTAGTAGTACAGCGCATTATGGAATGCATATTGTATAAAGGCACTGCATGTATTTTGCCCTGTGTTTTCTGGAATATTTTCTCTCATTTTAATGTTTTCCCTTCAGTGACTGTACAAATTCCAAAATGCATTGCAATGCGTATCTTCATGCCCTAAAATCAATCCAATGTATTTTGATGTAAAAATAGAACACTGTACTGCTGTAACACTTGATAGATTAAAAAGGCTATAAAGTAATAAGAGCAAAGAGCAGATAACAGGGTCTCATTAAGCATCAGCAAATGCAAGTGTCATACTTAAATCATTTAGCAATTATATACTGTACATACTGTTCCTAACCGTCTTACAAAAAGACATATGATAGCTAGACATTAAGTCACCAATTTCACAACAATGTCCACAAAGACATTGAAGTTCTATATAATACTACTATAACACTCTGACAATGAAAACAGAATTAATATCCAGGGATTCAGCTGAGGACCGCATAACAAATTATCAAACCATGTTTTGATAGTGTACACAAGATTATCTGTGAATTGTATAGCATTTTTTCATGCATTATACTGTATTTTCAACAGGAAACAATATTATCAGTCAATGTTATTTTTTGTGTCAGTTCCTTTAAAAAAAAAAGCAAGAATACTCAGGTTTGGAACCAAATTTGAATTTCTTATTTTGATTCATACTAACATACCACTTAATGTGTCATTATACTGTATAAGTTTATTGGCCTGCATATTCTCACGGAATAAACATCTTGTGGTGAGGACCTTTGTTACCTGCATGGTCATACTATGAGAAGGAGGTTGTACAAGTGCTTTAAATATAACTGAAGATACTGTGACAGGGGATAAAGTCCTTTGATTACACAAACGAATTCATCGCATTTACAGGAGAAGGAGCCTCAGAACTTTCATTTCCTTCTGCAGGTTCTTTCTCTTTTTTACCACTATACTGTCCAATAAAAGAGCCATCCTCATTGAACTGACCATTTACACCTTCTCCATAGTCAACTAAACTATCATCACTGTCTTCTTTTTTCACAGTTCTGTCCGAAGGTGTTCGGCTTCCTTTTTTTAGAGGTTTATGGTCCTCTGCATCACTGGAGACACACACACATATGAACAAAAGAAAAAAAGAGATTAATGTATGGATTATTTATTCAGGAAAAATCAGCCATGCATGCAGAGTTTAAAAAAAGCATGTGCGCAGCCCTGTAACCCTTTAGTAAACCCACATCACATTGTAGAGACAAATCAATATGATGCAGTTGACATGAACACATGGTGTAGTAATGGTTTAAACAGAGAGTATCTTCAGTGGAGGGAAGGGTTTTTGTGGTTCCATTTTTTTCATCGTGCATGATTTTTCAATGATAAGACTTGTGCCCTTGGCTCAGAAGCAATTTAGACATAACTGCAAGCATTAAAATGTGGGTTGTAAAGTTACATAAAAAATTATTTGCTCTTCAAAGAAAATAGCTTATGATGTGCCGTGAAGTTAGTCTGTTAAACTTCTTAATTTCTTTGACTCCTTGAACGTGAATGAAGAATGACTTTGGTTAAATGAAATATACCGGGTTTTTCACTAGTAAAAAGAAAATAAAAGTGCTGCATTTCAAATAATTCGTTACATAATGCAGGCCAGACTTGCAATTTTCAACCTTACCTTTCAAGAGACCTACATATTCCATTAAAAGGGTGCAGAAGAAACAAATGAAAATAGCCTAAGAAGAAAAGCAAAGTCCATATCCTGATAGTGATCGGTATTTTATGAAGGTGCTCTTAAAAATGCTAAAACATTTACTGTGTACAGGCAAAGCAACAATTTAGCTTATATTGGCTAGACATGAGCAGTTTGGAGCATGCTTAGTTTTTTTTTTTTTTTTGGCAGATATAAAGAGATGCTTTACTCTATTTATCTTTGCTAACCTCACGCTGATGGTATTTCCACACTTTCATTACTTATCAGATCAACCTCCTTACCCTAATCCTCAACTGATTGATAACATGTTCTGGCAATGATGATGATGATTTGGAGGACAAGAGAAAAAGGAAAGGAAAGATAGGCCAAAACTATATAGCATATACAAGAACACAGAGATTAATTAATGCCCTATCGAGAAGCATTTCACTAAAAATCATTACACCAATTTTCCATTAAGCTGCTATTTTTCACTTCATCATCTCTTTTTTTGGCTTTGGAAGATACTGAATTATTATATCCTAAAAAGATACAACTGTAATATGCATATACTAACAAAAGAAAATCATAACGGAAGTCTTATTTTTCTATACATACATAGGAAGAGAGAAGTGTGAGGAATATAATTGCATTTCCACCTAAGAAAACCTTCATGTTAAAATTAACATATAAGAAGGCAAAAACTCTGAATTTGCCTATGAGCTTGACCTTTTTTTCTCTACTGCGCACGTGGCATGAGGATAAATATTGTATTACCGATCTTCTGTGCCCACTGGTATTGCAAACAGACAGGGTATTAACACTCACAAAAATTCTGCTCCAAAACGTCAAGCCTCCAGAGCAAAGTGAAAACGTTTGTAATACTATACACACAACCATCTTACAAAATATTTCTGAAGCAAGATCATTTTGGAAGGGTACTGCATTTAATAGCTCAAAGAGAGAACAGAGTATTAAAACATCTTAGATATGAATGTCCTTGCCAGATAGAAACGTAGTTTGTCCGTTGCCCTCACTAGAGTGCATTAGAGTCATTAGGAACAGGTTACACAAATGAAATGAAGACCAGCCCCTCACTTTTAAACAGTACTAGGTCCTACTCCCAAAAGAAAATGATCTTCAGTGTTCAATGCTTTCTGTGTAGTAAAGAATATCATACATATGATTTACTGTTTAAACGGTTTTACACCGTAATAAATAGAAAGGAAAATAAACTAAAATTTGTATCACATTCCAAATTGACAGAAAACTCAGCAAATATTCTGCAGTGTGAGCCTATCCAGTGTAATTCAGTAGACCGGAATATACCATGAATAAAAAGTACACCATCACTGTTTTAAAAATATTGACATTTCAGACATCTTTGTGTGCAATCCAAAACAAAACTAGAGTTTAATTTATAGGTTAGATAAACCTGGATATAGAAACTTTTGCTTTGTATTGCTCTTACAGTTTTCTTTTTCATATTTTTCAATAAATATTTTGCATTTGTTTATAAATAAATGCTTATTTATAATGTAAACAATGAAGAAATACATACTGTGTATGTTGCACTGTATCTGCGAATTTTCTATATTTTAGTAAGGATGCAGATTCTACTGTCTGTATAATTAAAAACCAAACAAAACTGCACATTTATCCAGGAGTGCACCTGCATGGATGTGGCTGCTGGTGTAAGTGCATGCTTTCAGCAGATACAGAAATCAAATCTGAACCCGGGGTTTCCCTCCCTTTCTGCACCATAAAAGTCCAGAAAGAGTCCTGCCTGGACTCTAGCAGTAAAAAGAGAAGTGGGATTAGCCAGGGTGCTTTCCACTTGTCCAAGAAGAGAAAACATATGCCACAGTACCATGACTCTTTACCAAACCAGACTGTGATTGTGACTCTTGCATTAGATATCAATATAGAATTTTGAGTGGAAGGGAAAGAAACTGAGGAAGAAAGAGTAAGAAACAAATAGGAGAGAGACAGACAGACAGACAGACAGAGACAGAGGCAGAGGAAGTGAAAACGCCAGTGTTTTGGACAGCATTTTTATAACCCTGGGGGTGCAAAACAGAGAAGGGAACCTAGCGCTCTGGGAAAATGAATGGACTTTCTGTGCGCTGCCAAGAAGCAATTTGAAAAAGTAGCAGGATTGTCTCATTATGAATACTGAAGCCCAAATAGCCATAAAATACTGGCTTTAGAACGTGTAATCCTACACTGCAGAAACATGTTAAAGCCAGAAATTTTGATACAATATCTCTGAGGCTTGCTAATCTTGTTTATGATCTTTCCTAAAATTGTTCCAAAATGCAATCAGGATAGATCATAATTTCTTTTATTTTTTTGCTTGTGGTTTTGTTTGCTGACTTTTACACTTACCTAGTGCAGTATTTTGAAGTGGAAAATAAAGTACAAGTTAGACTGAATAAAATTACCGTGGATAATTTAAAAGCTTTTTGAAATATGTCACATACATTGTGCCTACAATTAATAGTGAGACAGTAAGTACTGGGAACAAAACAGGAGGTGAGTACATGTATGAATTTTGCATGTAGATGAGACAGCCGTGAAAGTTAAGTTCACTGATATTTTTACTTTTTATTGTTTTACAAATAAACTTAATACTGTTAGCTTTTTAAGGATGATAGTTTTTTAATAAAGACTGATACTTACAGATAACCAGGCACTTCTTGCCATTTTAGTAAGAACAGTGTGTTTAATACTAAGTATACTCTGAAAGTATGATTTAAATATTTTTCATAAAGTACTGCTAATATATGAATACATATTTCTTTTTCTTCTTAGTTTCATGAAACAAATAGCCAGCTTGCAGCTAATGACTAAGAGATCTGAAGAACTAGGGAGGTGATAATAGCAAGCATAAAGTACAAACTTATTTTAAAAAACGACTTTATTTCACAAGCTTATCACAGTTATTGAAAGAAATGTGTTACCTTGAAATCTCCTTTCTTCCTTCACCTTTTTAATTTTTCTTCCTTAGAAATGGGTACATGCAGCAACCAGTCAGAATGGGGAAGACAGTTTTATGATGCCTCTGCAGTCCAGCAGGCAATTAGTTCCCACTAAACTTTGCCACATTAATGGACATGCAAAACAACTCAATATATGGTTAGAAATACACTACTTTTCCTTATAACACAACTGTTGCATGAAAGGTAACGCAAACAAATTGGTGAAGCATTCTGGGCGACTGGATAAGAGGATGCAGAAAAAATTTGTTGGGAATAAATTCCTTTTTTTTCCCCCAGGTCAACAGCCCAGAAATGGTTAGGTATAAGCATTCATATAAAACCACAAAAGTACCTTAGACTATGGCTTCCCTGTAAATTTCAAGAGAAACTCTGCCCTAACATGTTTCTGCTCATGCTTCTAAGTTGTTAGGGATACTGAAGACCAGGAAGATGAAAAACTCTTTCTCTAGACACCTATGCATATATTTCCCTATGCATTATGTCTCAGTCCAGATTTCAGAATTTTTTACCATTTCTAATCTAGCTATCTATGTTAGTTTTCTAAATAGCTTGTCTTTAGCATGTTTGCAATCCTGATCTTCAATTTCGGCCGAAGCTGTAAAAACTGGAAAACTCTTCCTCTAACTGGCAATAGGTTGAAAAAGCTGCTGTTAGTCAAAGAATCCAACCCTCTCCTTGTGAAAATTTAAAGAAAAATGTACTTGAGATAATCAAATTTTCTACATTTTACTATGTCTTCTGGATGAAAAACATATAAAATGAAATCAATTCAGAAAAGAAGGGACATGGACGTCCAAGAATTAAGTTAGGAACCATCAAAGAAAGCATGTGTTTGTGAACAAGGACATAGTAAGACTGCTGCCAAATCCAGTTAGACTATTCAGCGATAAGATTCCTCCAGACAGTCTATCGACATTACCTCTTGTGTTAGAAGCAACTGAGCTTAGACGTGAGGGCACAAATTATTGGCAGATCCACCTGGAAACAAACCTAGGCTGCAGTAGAATTTGAAAAAATACAATAGAGAAAAATACTATTGCAGATCGTAAACTGTATCTGCATTGTTAATCAATCTAGAGAAAGACAGAAGGCTAACATAGTACTTAACATCCTCAGAGTTCAGCACCAACCATTTCCAGAAAGTCTCTCACAGAGTAGCTAGGAATTTCTTGGAAAAAAGATTTTGTGCATCAAAACACTCCAGAAAAGAGGCAAAAGAATTCTATGAAATGTGCAAACAGCCTGTGCAACCACACTAGTAGTCCTACCACTGTAGGACTACTATCATGTAACATAGTCATCTATACTACTATCATCTAATATCATGTAATAAGAGATGTGAAAAGCTTCCCTTTCATACTTTCCATAAAGTTAACTAACAAATGCATGCTTGCAATCTTTCCCCACCCTCAAATCCAAAAGTCTGTAACGTTTTAACTCCTTAATTTCTCTTGATTCATGGCCCAGGACAGAAATTTAGGCTGATTTATTACAGGTGCTGACCTAAACAGGAGCCCTATGTCTTTGTTTTTGTTTATTTTTTTCTTTAAACAAACATTCATTTGTGGTACTTCTTGCAGTGTCTTGGTGTAATCATTCACTGTTCACAACTGTTTCAGTCTGCTGTAACTCAAAACCATCAGGACTGTAATGCAATTGCTTTGCCATAAAATGGACTTCCAGAGGCCCTGTTTTCCCTTGTTATGTGAAGATCCGATTACGCCTCCAGTCACAGGGGGACTGTGTATCCAGTTATTCTGTAGTTCCCAAAACAACTGGGTTTCCTAAAGCATTGTTTCCTTCATTAGACTGATATGGTAGAAAAATCCCAGGTCAGCATGTTCTGCAGGAAGTATGCTCTTAGGTAAAGAAATACAGCTGAAGAGTAAAAAACTTCAAACAGGGCCAGACTATCTCAAAAATACCAAGAAGCCTGGCAACTGAATGTGACAAAAACTCCCCCTAACTCTGAGAGCCACAACTTTTCTGGAAAATGTTAATTAGTGGCAGAATTACTTAAATCTTACTTTGAAGCAACTAATTCCCTAAGCATTGGGCTTACTTGTCCAGAAATACTGATGTCTGTTCACCATAAATTTCCAAATCTTCCACTTTTCCCAGCTCCTGAGAAAAAAGGAAGCAAGCCTATATTGTCAGAAAGTTCCTCTTGAAGGCTCTCATGTCGCTCTGAAAATGAGATGTCCTTTTGTAGTTGGTGTGAAATGACTGTGAGACCTTGTACTTTCGCTTCCCTCCTTTAAACTTAGGGGGAGAATGGAAGGAGCTCCTACAGTTGTGAGGATAAGAACACAAAGAGCTTTCAGTAGATCTTTTTTTTCTCAGCTGATGGAAGGAACGTTTGCGTTCTGAAAAATCCTTCATGATCTTTACCACGGATTCACCAAATAGCTTGCCACCTGCATATGGTAAAGACAGCAGACGACATTTTAGATCTAGTGATGAGCTCCAAGGCCGTAGCCATACAGCTCTCCAGGCTACTGTGAGGCAGGCCATATTTTTAACTGTGAGTCTTAGAGAATCCTCAGCTGCATCATGGATGAAATTAGCTGCAATTTTACATAGCCTACGTGTCCTCTGCCTGGCAGTGGATTGGACCCATTTCTTTTTGACTCTGTCTTGTTCTTCCTCCAGCCATATTAGCAAGGCTCTTGAAGCGTAGGTGCAGTAGATGGATACTCCAAGCTGGGCTGCTACTAGCCTGAAAGATCTTTTGATTGCTTCCTCAACCTTTCTATCAGTAGGATCTTTAGGGAGGGCATCCACATCAGCAGGTACAGAATCATCAGTAACCACTGCCCTGTCTACCTCAGGCAAGGCCCCCCACAACGCAGCTTTATCTGCTGGAAGAGGATATACCTTACGTAGGACTGCCGGGGCTTCATGATTTGCCTCAGGATTACCCCAAATCCTACAGACAAGATTTTCCACTGCTGAATGGATAGGAAGGGCATTTTCTACCTTGCTTTCTTCAGAGGGGATAGGCAGTTCTTCTGAACGGTATTCAGATTTGGAAGATTTCAACATTAGCACTCTCTTAATGTGCTTGAACAGATAATTCTGATTCTCCATGTCAAACTTACGCACAGGATCCAGTTCCTCTTGTTCTTCTGCAAGTGACTGAGATGACACCTCCACGTCTTCAGGGGATGACTCATCCTCCAAGGCCTTTTCAGCCCTAGATTTCTCCTTACTAGGAGCTGTTTGCTCTTCTAAACTGTCCACACAGTCAGACTCAAAAGCTTGGGAACTGCTCCCAGTTGCTTCTAGAGGAACCACAGGAACTTCAGTAATTGGTACCCTGGGATGCTTTACTGAATGGGAGCTAGCCTGTGCCACAGAAGTTATACTTTGTCTGGCTGCTGTCAGTGCATCCTTTAACACAGTAGTCAATTCAGGCAATAATATAGATCTCATTAGTGTATTTTTTTCAGTTTCAAAGAAATGAGTAGTAGTAGAAGGTCTTACCTTCTTGTGGTAGGAGCTTTGAGAGCCTTCTGAATCTGAGCTGTAGTCTGGAGTCTGGCTGAACCACTGCTGGAGAGAAGAACGTGGCCTTGCCAGTGAGCCACGAACTGAGCTGCAGCTGAGCTGTTGCTGGAAAGGGGGAGGCTGTCCTGCCTGAGAATCTGAGCCCTCCTCCGACCCCATTATCTGTTGCTTGGAAGCATGATGTCTAGAGCCATGCCTGTACTTCCATTCATTTGACCTCTTTTCCTCTTGGCAGAGGGAAGCAGAGACAGAACTAACCCTTGTGATCTCTGAAGACTGCCTAGCCCTCCTCCTGGAGAAGGAGGTCTCTGATCTGGTGCTGGAGTATTGATCCCCTGACCTTCTGAAGAAGTTGGATCTGTCAGATCTCACAGAAATTGCTTTGGTAAAGACTGAGTTTGCTTCAGGAGATTTGGCACAGCTACCTGGTCTTTTCTTTTCCTTGTCCATTTTCTTTACTGTCCAAGTAGACATGGACCTGAAGTGATGAAAAAAGTTCAAAATACTGGAATTCCTAGACCTTTCAAAAACTACTTTCTTTTTTTTTTCTGTCTTTTTTTTAAAGGGAAAACCTAAACCCTTTTTCCTCAAAGAAGCACTGCATTGTGACCAGTGCCATATGAGACAGACAAACTGGGAACTGAGTGACTGCAGTGATGTTGGGCTGCAGAGAGAGTGCCAAGATATCTTCTGTAATCTGACTGGTTGCTGCTGCTGCCCTGTCTTCTAAGGAGAAAAGAGGAAGCCCAATACAGACTAATTTAACAAAAAAAAAATGTATAAAGGAGTTTTTGCATGGTAAATAGGATGAGCTCGTTTGTATGAACAGCTCTGAAAGCTATGCACGCAACTGTCCATATTCAGCACACAAAAGGTTGATAAACGCATTATAAAATCATTTAATAAAGCACTAGATGATTCTACAGATTAACTCAAACCATTTAAATACAGAGACATAAATTCAAATTTTGCTACAGGCCACACATGAAAACAGACTAATTGTCTTATTCTAGACCTGAGTAAATATATATTCAAATCACATCACTTGGTACAATTCTGTATGAAGATCAGTTTTAGCTAATGAAAGTTCCAGATATAGAAAGGCAGAGGAGCTATAAAGTAGAATGCAAACTGGACTGCCTAGGAAAACTCATACAATATTTATTTACATCGGCATCCAACCGCTGTTTCACATCTCTCTTTTTACCAGATAAATTTAATTAACCCATACACACTTAAAATAAAACGGTATAATAAATCACTATTCTGAACTGATTAACCTAACAACAGATTAGAGTTTGTTTTTTTTTTTTAAATCAAGACAGAATTAAGAGAAACTGCTCTTTGACATTCAAAATTGTGAGCCTCTTCCAGTCAGATTAAGATGCCCATTTGCCTTATACAAAGAAACTACAACAACAAAGTGAATCTTTCTTGAAAAAATAAAAATGTTTCCATGCACCTTTTAAATTTTCCAGCTACAAAAAAATAAAAGGCCTTCACAACGTTTTTGACACAGGCGTTCACTGTAAAATGTATTATAACACCCAAGTAAAACAGAACGGTATTGACATATTTACAAAATAATACTATTATTTCCTGAACCAATCAAAATACACCAAATAAAATCCTGCTTTTTTAATAAACAACCACACTCATATTTGTTATATGAACAGAGTTGCCAAAGCGTGCTTTCTGTGTTGCAAGGAGATTCGGTTAGCATATATTTAGGATAAAGGAAGATAGTCAGGAGTAAAAGCTGTGTGGCATGCCTCGAAGTAGCTTGCTATATTTCTTGCACAGAAATAGATGAAATGATTTGTTTTTCTTTTAAGATATCCTCTCACCTCTATGTTTAACATCTTTTTGTTACTGGATTAAGTGTTAGTACTGTCAGCCATTTTAAATTAATTTATTTTCCAGGCATGGGAATGCCATGTTGTCTTTAAGTTTCTATAAGAAATGTATTTTCAAAAAAAAGAATGCAATATGTGCCATAACTCAAAGGATGCAAGCACATAGAATCTGAAAAGCACATGGTATCCAATATTTAAATTATCTGAAAGATGGGCTTGTAAATGAAGATTCCTCAGTTTTAGCCACTTTGAGTGAATTTGGACTTCAACTTGCATTAGTGGACAATCCTTAGAATACATTCTAAGCTCTCAATTCATAAATCTTGAGTGTTTAATGTTTTTTCTAATGGTCTAACTGAAATGCTATCTGTCTGTAGTTCTATAAAACGCTGGATACAGAATATTTGTCAACAGTGAAAAAGTTACAATTTTGAGTTAGTAAGTGAGATTATACGAAGCACATGTGTGATATGAGTAGTGGTCATGACAAAATCACATCAGCTGCTCACCTGTATTCACCAAATGTTCCATCATCTTCCTTCATAGGTTGTATTTCTGGATCAGCATGTGCATCCTCCTTTTCTTTCACTAAAATATTTAAAATTGAATTTTTATCACTAAATTGCAAGACTAGAAACCTTAAGATCCGAATTTAACATACTGATCACATTTGGCAGGAACATACTTGAGTAAAAATCGTTCTTTGAACCGAGATCTTAGGCTGTTACATTTTTCCTTTTTAATGAAAAAATCTCTTAATTAGCTACAGAATTTTATCGTCATTCAAGTAAAAAATATTGCATGTCATATGGCATTAGTAAAACTTCCTTTCATTTCTAGCTTAAAGGGACTTTTCTGTTAAAGAGCGTACTAAAATACTTGCTTTGCTTATGTCATTAATAGAATTACTGTTCAGTGAAATATGAATAATTTTGTTTTACTTATCCATGTTTCTTATTCACTCTTGACATTCCTCTCATACTGATTGATAAAACTGAATCAGTGTCACATGTGTTCACTCTTAGTTTGTAGCCTTTCAAATCATGCACTAACAATGCAGTAAAGGTTCTCTAATAGACACTCCAGGGGAATATTAAATAGTATTTTAAAAATCATTAAGTCGGGAAAAAGTCTTTTAGTCTGTTCATTCTTTCTTTTATATAACATGATCAAAATCAAAACAAAAATGCCTACGCTAGACCTCAATTTAACATAATTGCATCTCTTGCAGTACTCACAATTAAACATCTCCCCCTTATAGGTTTAGTAATCTTGTAATCACTCACTGATAAAGGTGATTGCAACTAATCGTGAAAAAACTAGACAGCACTGTCTTTTGGCACTGAAACCCACTAGTACCTGAGGAGACAGCTGTTTATATGAAACATATATTACTATAAATTGAGACTGTTGACAAGAGTATAATAATATACTGACTTCCAGAATTATCTTTAATGGTTCTCCTCCATGCCTTTGCATTCCGTTTTTCTAGTTATCATTCATATTCCGTCTTTGTTTAGCAGATACTTATATCCAAAATATAATCCAGTGTACAATCTCATATTCTGGTAATTTAAACACTTAATTTGTACTTCATCAGTTTACATGCAGTTATCTAAGATGACATGAATAATTCATGACAGTATTTTCTAACTGTAAAATTATGACGATGCATAACACCTTGAAATGTATCTGGCTGTTATAATTTCATATTGAAGTAATTTAATTTTTTTAACCATAGGCAAGCTCAAGATGATATGCCAAAATTAAGACAAAAAAAGCGTTAATAATTTTGTTTTTCACTTGTCAGTTATCTGTAGAACAGGACATTTGCAATGACACATAACATAATTAGTTCTAGAGTCACTGATACAAACAAGTAAGGCTGACTCTGGAAATCTTATCAGATACAGTTAAAGTCTACCATATCTAGTCAACAGATAGATAGCAGGGATCTCCACAAACTAACATCATCATCGGCATCCAACTGCCTTCTACACTTTTACTCTACCTGTGTTTTACCCTCTTCTGAATGGTGGCTCACTCCAAGTTCTCCCCTCTTTTCAGTTTTATCACTTCACTTATTCCACTCTTTCTCTAACTTTCCTTCTCTTCTCATGTCTTTCAGCTAACAGTCACTTTTCCTTTATCCTCTGCAATCTCATTTTCTCTTAACAAACTCCAAACGTTAGAAAAAATAACTAAAATGATGTCTTCAGCCTGTTATTCAACTTGCATATAACACTGCATTCCTTAATCATCTTTTCTCCACGGGCAAAAGCTGTCGGGACAGAAGCTTCCCTTACTTCATTTTTGCTGTCACTACAAGTCTTTGTCTTCGCCATAAAACAATGAAATAGTTAGACTCTCTGGGCAGAGCACGGGCCTTGTATTTATCAAGATGATTTTATCTTTTTGTAAAAATCATCTGATAGGTTAAGTTCTGCTATGAAAGATTTGCCTATGCACAGAAGAAAAGCTTGAAATATTCACTAGTTTTCAGAAGTGCTAATTGCAATAAGGCACTGATCAAAAAAAGTGGCAGAAATTAAAATATAGTATGGATTTTGTTTATACTTGTATAAGTATATTCATTTTGCTCATGTCCAAATTGACAATATAAACTTAGAATTTAAGCCTGAGTTGACTTTGAATAAACGTTCCAGAGTCTGGACAATCAATATCATTTCCCAAACCTTTGGAATCTGTAGTACTGGACAGAAAATTTCATGAAATCACTGGGGAAAGATATATATGTAAGACATGTAAACACACAAATGCACACATACAGATGTATACATCTTTTATAATACATTTAGCCAGAGGGAATGGAGTTTTGATAGAAGAGGCACATTGTACAGATCCCATTTTTAATTACAAATTATGAAACATATTCAGTCATTGTTGGGCCTGACGCTCAAACAAACTAAAAAGGAGAATCCTTCTAGAAGAAAAAAAAAATCCTAGCTGGAGGATGAAGACTTCAAATTTAGCTCCAGCAATACGGACCCTGAAAAAGACACATATTCTTAGTAAATCTGAATTTAAGGAGGGTAAAATATTTGAAACAAAATAATCTATGAAGGGAATTTTCCTATGAAATGCAGTTTTCCTAGAACATTAAATAACATGGCAGCTATGATCTGGCATATGTTTCCAGGCCTTCAGATTAATGAAATTCTCAATTTAGTGGGTTAAACCCATCTGTATTAGACTTTAGAAACTGGGGCAAACAGTACTGGTGGGAGAGCCAAGTATCCTCAAACAAAGCTCCAAGATCTCTAGAGTGGTAATGTACTAATACTGCACTGCAGGAACAAGGGAGATACCCTTCTTACACTTAAATGGATTGGAGTTTTCTACCAATAGGTGGATTGCTCCCAACAAGCCTACCAAATGATAGGACTCATTTCCCATATACACAATGTAAATGTAAACCAGCAGTAAATGCAATTTCTCCAGTAAAATTGAGATCTGTCCTAATAGGATTGCAGTAATTTTTACTCATATTATTATATATCATACCTGGATATTTGCCACCTTTATTCCTCCTTATGAAGCAAACAATCAGTAAAATCAAGATAAGAAGAGCCACAGCACACATAAGACCAATGAACCATCCTTGAGTAGCAATGTCTACCTGCCGACTTGCCATTGCTGTAGAATGAAAGAAACATATGAGATTTGTTGTTGCATTTAAATGTTATAGTAATTCATATAAATAATAGCCAGTATCCACTGTTCATTAATTACACAAGAATAACACTCACTGAAAAGATCAGCAATAAGAAAAAACGTGGTACTACATTTTGTGAGTATTTTCATTATTTAAAATGTTTGCAAGTACAAATACATAGAACTTCCTTTTGAATATATAAGCAATCTGCCAACTTAGTTCACCATTTCGGCTTAGCAACTGCTTTGCAGAACATACACACATCCTACACTGCTTTTCACAAGTCTCAAAACTAGTCTGTACCATTTTACACTGATTAAACTACTGAAATTAAATTGCAAATTATAATTAATACAAACACTTGGATTGCATTCTCAAAATGAATAGAAAGCCAATACTCATTAGCTAATGCACACTCATTAGTCTGAAACAGGGCAACAGATGGGTCATTCAAGACCTTAACATTCAATTTCAATTAAAAATCAACAACAAAGCCTCCTTTAAAGCCTTATTATGCATTATGGTTTCTTCTTCTCCTCAAGCTCATATCTCATCCTACAATTTTCATGATTGTCATCATTTAGCATTACCGAAGGACTTAGCACAGCATGATTGGGAAGCCCTTCACTGGCAGTCCTTCTGTCCAAATCTTGACTCTGGCTGGAAGATAATGCAAGTGAGAAGCAAACTACAGAGGAAACACTATGGTCTTTAACAAGGGCAGGAATTGTATCTGTGTGGTCTAAGGGTCAGAGCCTTCCTGTTAGTCTCCAAGACATTAGGTGGATTTTCCTGGTGAAGCCTATTCCTGCTCTCCTATTTGGAAACATACTACAGGCACCTGACCTTAGAATTTGCTGTTGAAATAAAACTGGAAGGGTGATAGGAGTGCTACAGATAGAAGAAGATATGAAGTGGGAGGAAGAGGGACATCTATCCAACCTTATTTGTTCATTCTTTACCTTCACCTCCAGCTCCAAAAACTCCTATGAAGAGTTGCTCAATAGACCTATCTCTAGATGGGGAGATAGAGACAAATATCCTCTTCCCACATGAATAAGGAAAGTAACATGCAAAAGTCTTTCTATGCATAGCTCACATGGCATTTTGGTTCAGCATTTGTTGTTTTTTCTGGTTTCATGAGATAAGGTAAGATTGTTCACAGCCAGTAAATTACCTAGGATCTTAGTAAGGATCAATAGTGCCTCAGATTTCAGCTTAGTGGACCCTCTGCACTAGGACAAGATTATACCTGACACCTTCAGTCAGCCTCTTTTTTGGTGTCTATGAGTGCCTCAGCTCTTACTGCACAACATGTTTCACCCAGATCTGCTAGGGAAGGTCTCTGGGCCTGCTTCTGCTCTAGTCGTGGGGATAATACACACATAGCTGTACTCGCAGAAACACAGAAGTCCCAGAGAATCTATTTTCAATGGAGAATTGACCGTTTTCTAGCCACTAGTCCTGGTGATACAGCATAAACTCTCTTCCCCTTCTAAAACACGGAGAATGACTACAGTGAAGAGTCCCTGGCTGGGCCTGTCCTTTGAACTATCTGGGCCTCGTCTGGCAGACAGCTGATGGGCACTGGGCCAGCAAGCACACTAACAATAAAATATAACAATATTCAGTTATGGGCCAGAATTCAAACTCCTGTCTCAGCCTCACTTTATTTATTAGTAAAGACAGAGCCTGAGGTGGAGCTAGCTTGGAAAACCGGGCTCTGTATGGCCCTAGATTCCTGAGGATTTTCCATGGACTGTATGAAAACTAAAAGTACCTGCGATGTTTGGAGGTAGTATCTATTCTCCATTCCACATAGAAAACCAATACTTATTCCATAGAAGTACCGAGCTAAAACTAACTCTTTACTTTACTGCCTGTTTTTGGTTTTATTGAGCACAGGAATGATTTGAGTTTCAGGTAATAGACAATAAATGAATGTGTCTGGTTATTATAGGATTACATTTCCTGCCTTTGGTAAAGACTATGCTTTCTGATATTTGAGAAATTGTTTCTTATATGTCCAACAATTTAAACCTTTTTTGCATTAAAACATCTAAAATTTTTCACATATGTGCATAAATATATGTGTGTGTGTTTATATATATATATGTATACTATATATAAAGGCAGTCTTAAAAAAATAAAATCACAAAGGCAATCTTCCTCTGAACTATAAATCAAATTAATATGAATTTTTGTTTCTACATAAAGGTTAAATTTATTTTGATTTTTGCAAATGTGCATTTATAATAAGGCATTAAAGTTTGTATAACAAATACTATAGCAAGACACAAAAGCACATTTAACATTCAAATGCAGTAAGAAGCAGCATGGAGCAAAACAACAGCT